TGAACATCTTGCCTAAAATACCCTAAGTGGTAACCTAGGCATTTCCTAGAAAATAAGGAAAATACAACTAGAAAATTTCCTAAGCAATTTTGGATTATATTATTTGTTAGATAGTTATGAAAAGGATTTGTCACAAGGAACCTTGAAGGTTCATATGTTGTATCCAACAAATAATATATTCCAAGAATTGGGTGCTTTATTAAAACAACTAAGTAGGAAGAGTCCTACACATAGGAGGGCTATCTACCTTGGGCACCACCAAGGAAGTAGCACAAGAAGTAGGACTAAGTGAAGTCCACTTCTTCTTCACTAAATCTTGAAGTAGAGCAGTCCCGAAAGGTTGTCAGTTCTTCAAAATCCCCAAAATTGAAGGGTTGGGGTTTCTCTCGTCCCGAGCCACTTAGCCCCGCAGCAGCCTTCAATGTTGGCCCGTCCAACTTAATCATTTTTCCTTTCACCACCGATTGCATGATACCCTCATTGCTTGTGGCAAAATAGAGGAATAACCTGGTCAACTCAGGGTAATAGGGACCCTCCATTTCCAAAAACTTTCCCAGTTCTTGGTGCTCTAGAAGGGTTGGGAAACTAAAAAACCTTCATTCTTAAACCACTCAAGCTTAAGAGTCTTCGGAGGAATGATTCTCCACCCAACATACCACTCAAAGTAGTATTCTTGAGTCTTCTCATCCGGGAACCATTTTGAAATCAGAGGCCTAGAGGGTAGAGGACGTTTGCTCCCCCTCACTTCAAGCTTCTTAGGTCTCTTTGATGAAGATGCCTTGAGTGGGTATTGAAGAAGAAGAAGAAAATGAGAGAGTTGAGAGAGTTAGGGTTTGTGGGTTTAAGAGAAAATGAGAGAATGAGAGAATGAGAGGTTTTGAGAAGTTTTGCCCTAACAACTTCTGAGTGGGGGAGTTATAGGAGGTTTCAAGGGTTTGGCGCGTACTTAACCGTTCAAACGTTTTAGAAATTTCAAAAACCGCCCACATAATCGATTATTTATGCAAATAATCGATTATTTGCATCAGCAAAATCCCTTTGAAAACATAATCTGATATGGATAATCGATTATTTTCAAGATAATTGATTATTACAGAAAGTAGTTTCTCCTAACTTTGCCCAGATAATCGATTATTTGCAAGATAATCGATTATTCCAGTGGCCTTTCAGATTCCTCTTCTCAGATAATCGATTATTTCCCTAGATAATCGATTATAACAGTGACTCTTTAGATTCTTCATACCAGATAATCGATTATTCCCCAAATAATCGATTATTCCAATGGCTCTTTAAATTCTTCATCTCCCAGATAATCAATTATTACCCAAATAATCGACTATTTACATGGGTTTACTTAAAATAATCGATTATATTTTAAGATAATCGATTATTCCAGAGAAGTTTTACTTCTTAGTAATTTTAACCTTTCAAATTACACCAAGTCTAATTTTCCACTTGAATACTCTCTTCTATACATCATTGCATCCTTATATATATATATATTTTCACATTAATAACACATATATTCATGCTTAATTAGTAAACTGTTGAAATGGCAGGATTGTAATGATGTGTAAACATACTTTAGAAGATGTTTCTAAAACCGACGCAACGTTGGAAGAAGATACATCCCAATTTCTTTTCACTTTATATTATCTTTAGAATTAATATTCAAAACAAGAGGGTTACACTATCTTTGTCCTATTATTACTCGTTAACCAAGTTTCAATTGATTCAAGTTAAGTATTATTATTATTATTATTTTTTTAAATCTTAATTTCAATTTACTTTAATTTTAGGAGTGAAAACAAATTAGATTAAGCTAGACATTTCCTAAAATATATTAGTTTCTTGAATATAAAATGATAGTCTACCTTATTTACTGGAAATATGACATTTTCAAGCCTAAATCTTATTTTTCTTTAAATCTTGACTTGATCCAATAATCTTTCTAAATGCTTTAATCTTATATTTAGCCAATCCCTAAGTGGGCCAACATTCCTCTAATGGATTAATTAATATTTCCGTCTTTTAAAAATCCAATATAATAATATAATTATGAAACGATGTTAAATGTGAAATTGCATATACATTAAATACATTTTAAAACATACAGTTATTAAAATTGTAAATAAATAAACCCTCAATTAAACTTAAAAAATTTGTTCAAAGGTTTGAAGTTCATATGTTTAATTAAATAGACTTTTATTAAAAAAATTAAACTATTTTTTTTTCTATTAATCTAAGTTTGATCTTAAATAAACCATGTCATAGGCGCATCTTTGGTTTCTCACCCATTTTTACCTCAGAATAAATTAGGCATAATGAAGACGAACCATAATTGAAATAGTCCATGTTATAACTGCTATTCATGTTGTTTGGTTATAGAAAAGGAGTTATTGATAAGTTCTTTAAAGATATTGGTTAAGAAACATTTATTATAATATATTAAATATTTTTTAATTAATTAAAATATAAGTATTAAATTATTTATGTCTACTTATTGTAATAAATATCTCTCTTTTCATTGAAAATCTTCTAAGAACACACACATAGTGAAAAAATCTTGTATAAACATATGCATATAGAAGAAAAAAATTAAAAGAAAAAAATGTATTAAAATTATAATAAAGTTTGTTACGTAATCCATGTTAAAATTATATAAAGAATATTTTTATTGTAGTTAAAGAAATAATATTATTTTAATTTAGTAAATAAGAATATTTGGAGGAGATACCTAAAAATGATTTAAAATTATTATTATTTTAATTTTATTAATGTAAATATTATCTTTGAGTATGGATAAAAATAGACTACACCAAGTCAAACTTATTTTATAAAATTAAAGTTTAAGATTAGTTTATTATCTATTATAGATTTTTTTAAGGGTCTAGTCTAATAAACTTAATTTTAAATAAATTAAAAAATCAATTTTTAAATATACATATGAGTCTTTTTTTTTAATTTTCTTGATTAAAAAATAATTTATTCTATTATAATTAAATTTTATAATTTAAAATAAAAATAAAAAATTAATGTAAGTGGGATAACTCATACGCACTCATATATACTAACATACACTCAAGCATAAGTGTAATGAAAGAAAATAATCTTATAAAAAAATATTTTCTAAATATTTTTTATATCCCATTTATAATATTTTAAATAATCAATTATGAAGATGAAATGAAAAAGAAAGTGCAAATATGACTTATTTTCTATTTTTTTTTTGGTTTTATATGAACTGAAAATATAAAATATATAAATGTGGTGAAAATGATAAAAATATTGATATTTTAATTTTTCGTATTACAAATTTATTTATTAAATTATATTACTAATAATATAAATGTGTATTATGTTTTTTTTATTATATCATCTAGAAAAATAGATTAGTTTATCAAATTTAAAAGATTTTTTTTATAAGTTTAAATATAATCTTTTAAATAAATAGAATTTTTTAAAAATTTAAATCTAACATTTTTATAAAATATGAAATTTTCTTGCTAATACTTATTATTTATTGATTCTTTCTCTAAGAATAATGAATAACAAAACAGCTCTTATTTTTATAATCTACCTACCTATATATACATACATAACAAAAAAAAAGTATTAAATATATAATACTAAATATTTTAAATTACATAAAAAGTAACCATAAGCGTGTGGTTCAGCGGTAGGGGTTGATCCACCCTTAAACAAGGTCAGGGATTCGAATCCTGCCTTGTGTATGCAGCCGCGTTAAATTTTGGGGCCAGCTATCCCACTCTTTGAGGTACCTCCAACGTAGCGAGGAAATTAGTCACTGTTGTCGGCGGTGGATACTGAGGAACGAACCAAAAAAAAAATTACATAAAAAGTTAATTCCTCGGAAAGAACTCGTTATAATGTGTAGATTTAATAATTTTTTATTTTAATTCCTCAGAAAGAACTTGTTATAAACAATTGATCGTGTGTAATAGTATTATTCTGATTTTGTATTAACTCTAGTTACTTATAGACACTATAGTTAGACAAAATTACTGTAACTAACGGTTGCATAAAAAAAAACTGAGAATTTTAATAAAGATGAAAAAAGGTACGATGACAATTTGGTGGCGCTGTGTTCCCCTGTATGAACGCATATTTGTTTGAGGCCACATGATTATTTTCATGGAAATTCGTTCTGGTTGCCTCTTTTTCACCCGTCCAAATCTCTCTACCTCAAATAACTAATCACCCCCCACTGTTTTATTACTTAATTGTGGCAGAGGAGACACATTCACGGATTAAAGTCAGCTCAAAATTATTTTTAAATTAACTATAATTATTTTTCAAAAGCATGGATATATGACATTAGTTTAATATACTTGTTATATCTGTCGTTGGCATGTCATGAGAGAATTTATTTATAAGAAATGGTTAACAAAAGTAAATTTGTTTTGCGAGTAACAGTGTACGGTTGAGGAGGTGAAGGGTGATAAGGATTAAGGAGGGGACAACGGAATTTTATTTTAATGGAAGCGAAAACCATAAATTAATGGACACAAAAGGGGCAATGTGTCACGAAAAAGCAGCGGGTTTTCCGGTGCAAAGGACAAGACAAGGGACGCAGAAAGCTGTGTCTTTGACACGTGGCATGGATAGGAGCCGTTGAAGGAACTTGGAAAATTTGGAGAAACGGTGGAAATGAGAGGGGATGATATTACATTCATATTCATTCCATTGCATTGTTGAGGAGAGAGAGAGAGGGCTGTGCTTACTGTGCAGTGTAGTGAAGTGGTTTTTGTCATCGTGCGGAAGGCTTCAGACACAAAAGGAGGAACTGCTCAGAACTAAAAAAATAGTTCATAATCTCTGCAGAAAAATCAGAGAAAGAAAGAGAGAGAGAGTGTGATGGAGTTATTAAATTGAAGGAGCATCAGAGGGTTGCAGAAAAGAGAGGGGCATGGCGGCGTTTGCAGTGCAGCGATAGCTGTAAAAAACTGTGGTACTGTTTGGTGCTGCGCTGTGCGCTGCTCTTTATTATTAATGCATAAATATATACTATATTACTATTATTACAAACGCTGAAATCGGAGAGTGACCAAAGAATTGAAAGCGCGATTAACGCTGCCCGACACTGTTCGACGCCTGTCCTTAACCAAGGAAGCTTCAATTACCCTTTCCCAACCACAACGGCTAACCCGTAACGAGATATAACAACACAACACCCAACACGCTTGCTCTTTTAGATAAGCCAAATATTTTAAATTAAGAATACTAGTGTTAGTGTTAGTGTTAGTGTATGTGTGTTTGTTTCTCTTTGCCCTGGTGTTTCTGTGGAGTGGAGACAACACTATTGACTCTACCTCTATACCACTGTTATAATTTTCTCCACATAAATTCAACAAGCTCTAACTGCTATTGGTGTTATTATTATTATTATTATAATATCGTTAGTATTATGGTTCTTGTCCTTGTCCTCTTCTCACTCCCAAATCCCAATTCTCAACTCCACGCCACATTCAAAGCTGCAAGTCCAGAGAATTAATTCAACCAATAGTTACAACTTACAACTTCAACCCGTGTTTTCTTTTTTTTTTTTTTTTCCTCTCTCTCTTTGGCTATTTTTTATTTTTATTTTTTATATGCTTGGTTTTTTCTTCTTCTCCTTTTTATTTTTCTCAATATTCTACTACCCACAGCGATCGAGTTTTCTGATATGGATTTTGGGCCACAATTGAAGCCCGGGTCAGGTCCAAAGCAATGGCGGGGTTGTTCCCATTAGGCGGAGGACGAGGTAGCAGCAACCAACAATACAACAACCAAGGCAGTGAGATTCCACACGCGGAGACGTGGTACAGCAAAAACGACGACGCATCGTCCTACCGAGGGCTTGAGCTATGGAACCAGCACCAGCAGCAGCAGCATCATTATCACCATCACCATCACGTGATGCATCCGCATGCGCGTCCCCTCCTGCAGCGAGATCTTTACTCGTCGGGGGTGGGGCCCAGCAGGGGCGTCTCCGATGACCAGTCGTCGTCGCGGTCGGCGCTGGCGGCGATGCGCGCGGCGGAGGGAGGGATAAGCTGCCAGGACTGCGGGAACCAGGCGAAGAAGGATTGCCCTCACATGCGGTGCAGAACGTGCTGCAAGAGCCGCGGGTACGAGTGCCAAACGCACGTGAAAAGCACGTGGGTTCCGGCTTCAAAGCGGCGCGAGCGGCAGCAGCAGCTCGCGGCGCTTCAGGAGCAGCAGCAGAGAGACATTTCGAAACGGCCGAGGGACCCAACGGCTTGCACTGCTCGTTTGCCCTCGTCAGGTATATGCTAGTTAACTACTCGCTCACTTGTTTTGTCTTTGTTTACAGTGGAGGACTCGCAGTTTCTGTGATGAATGGGAGTGGGGAAATAAAGGAAAGGGAAAGAAAGAAAGAAAAGATGAGAAGAGAATCTTTGGACAGGGAAATTCTCTGAAAAGATATCGAGAGACTGGTGAGAAAGTTTTGGAAGTATACCTGCAAACAATGGAACCGTATCGATTGCGTGTGAACCAAAATCCACCATTTTCATATACCACAGCTTTTCCTCTCTCTCTCTCTTTAGCCCTTTCCCTTTTCTATAAACACTGTTGTGTAGTAGCCCTGACGAATGAATGGATTGACAGGGAAGAAACTGTTTTTCCTCCTCTTTCTTAGCACATTCTCTCTCTCACTTCCACGCACTCGCAGTCATCTCCTCCACTTTCTTTCTTCATTCTAGTTTTTCAACAAAAAAATACTTTTTTTTTTTTCTTCCTTTGACTATGTAACTTTAGCTCTCAAATATGTAGCAACAGCAAGATATATCTAATGTTTTTTTTTTTTACATGTTGAAAAAATAAGGGTTAGAAGAAGGGCATTTTCCTGCTGTGGTGAGTTCTCCCGCGGAGTTCAGGTGCGTGAAGGTTAGCTGTTTGGAAGAAGCTGATGACAGGTACGCGTACCAAACGGCGGTGAAAATAGGAGGACATATGTTCAAGGGAATCCTCTATGACTATGGTCCTGAAAATAGCAATAATAATAGTGGTAATAATAATTACATGACTGGGGAAACCTCTGCTGGTGTTGGTGGAAGTCAGCCCTTGAACTTTTCTGTTTCTGGGGCTGTTGCGTCTTCTTCTGCTGCACTTGTTGATCCTTCTTCCTTATATCAAGCTCCACATAACACCTTCATGTCTGCTAGTGGTACGCAATTCTTCCCTCACACGAGATCTTGAAAAAGGAAAACACAAAATGGGGATTGCGTATTGTATCCCATGTAGTACGTTCTTCTCTTTCACCAATGCAACTTTGTGTTTAGATCATTTGATGATGATATTATTGTTGAGAATGAGGCCTTGAGGAAAATTTGACACCCATATTGAAGTGGGGGGTGAGAGAAAGAAAAGACAGGAGTGAACAAGAGAGAAAAACACATATATGGATGTTTGTATTTTTTTTTTTGTGCAAATTATCAATGCTTAGTTCAAAAATAGATCATTCTTCTTCTTCCCTTTGAAAATTAGCTAAAGTTATTTGTTTCTTAGCTTTGTACGATATAAGGACACATCTGGTTCTAATGTTGGTTTGGTGTAGCGTGTGTTCGTTCATTTAATCAGATGCATTATTGATATTGTATTTTATTTTTTTATTTTTATAATCTTCGGTACCCTCTTGCGTGTTGAATTATATCACACTTTGTTTTTGGTTGGTCTTGAGTCTTGATATTGGAAACTGCTTTTTCCCTGTCTAGTCGTCTGCTTGTTGGTTTGAAATTGAACTGGAAACACAGTTTTGATCTTTATTTGGATTGGACGACTAACCCTGAAAGAAAACTTGTTTAGTTCCTTCATATTTTGGAATGGGGCGGTCCAGCCATGCACGAGCATATTCGAGTTTAAAAGGTGAAATATCTCTCTCTCTTTCCCTCTTCCCATGTGATG